CAGTAGTACACAAAAAAATAGTATTATTACAAACATATATACTGTATTTAATAATGTGTATTCAATTAATAATATCTTCTATTAATAATCCTGTTTCATATACTAACATTGAGAATTTGTATATGTAAATTTGTAAATTCAAATGAAATAGGTCTCACATCTTCATTTAAACAATTATGTCAGTGTTATCAGTGTTATATTATAATTTAGCCGTTCATTTTTAAATTTGTGGGGGCTCTGGTTTTTGGGATTACAGTTGCAACTGCATAAAGCAGTTCAAGCTCCTGTGCCCTCCTTCAATTAGACCTAATGTCAACTGCTCCCGGCATCTTGCTGCCAGAGTTCCCTCATTTTGAAGGGCCATGGGAGTGGGTGAGATCCAGACTTCTCTCCAAGAAACAGTGAGCTGTCCTCAGCCTGAATGAGGACTTTGGAGCCCTGCAGGGTAGAGAGCTGGAGCTCATTTCAAGACATCTCTACTTGGACAGTATAGTTTGCTGCCTTTTGACACAGATATATCCACCCACACACTCATACGGTCAGTTCTTTACCGCCAAAGTTCAGCCCCTGAGGTTTGCAGTAATAATAAGCGGCATTGCAGGTGGAGCGTTCTGAACTGGGGGGAAATAAATGAGTGTTTATCCTTCCCATCCTTGCCGCTGAGGGACAGCTGAAAGTTATCATCTTTCCGGAGCTCTCCACGAACTGTCAGAGTTAGAGTCAGAGCGAATGGGTTAAAGCACTAGTTCAGTTAAAAATAAAAAGTCTGTCTTCGTTTGCTCCCCCTCATGCCGTTCCAATCCCATATGACATTGTTTATTTTGTGGAACAAAAGATAGTTTCAACTTTTGTTGTCCATTTAATTAAAGTCAGTGGAGTCTAAAACAACTTTCGTTGAACAAAAAAAAAAAGGATGAGTGTGTTCCTTCCATCATGTGTGCGGTGACCTTCGAAGAGTTGTTAATTTATCAGCTGTCATGAATGCTCCTCTTCATCAGCTGCCTAATGTATGTTTTATGCATGTGAAGGACATAGACTACTATTCATTATGGCTCATCTCTTACTTCAGCATAATGCCACATTGTGTCAGTGTTATTGATATATGTTGCACTAGAAGCCCAGAGCAATTTCTCTCAGCACTCCTATAGATTAATGATTGTTCGGTTGCTTGGACAGCCCGCAATACACCACAGATTGGCAGTGAAATCCATTGGACGGTTGCGGAGCATCTCATACATATTTGGTAATCTATACACACAGTTTAGTAGCATGTAAAAACATACTTGAGGCATAATTTGGAGTTAAACTTCAGTGCTCAAACCTTGCCTTATGACGAAGAATGCACCCATTGACTCATAAAGTTCTACACATGGGGTTCTCTAAAGCTTTTTAAGTTTCTCAGAGAACTTGTTTTGCTTTTTCTGAAGGAGTTTCTCCAGAGGTTTCCACCAGTGTGGCAATCTGAGGAACTCCATATAAGAATCGTTTTATTTTTACCATCATTTTCTGGCCACAAAATTCTTGTTTATTGCTTTCTATTCTGGTATATATGAATACTGAATAATATTTCTGACAAATAAAACATTTACATCAAATATTGCCTTAAATTGTGTTGTTAAATTTATAGCTGTCATGGCTATGTCTCTTCTGCTTTTGTTATTAGTTCTGTGTGGTGACAGAGCTATGACATTTCCTGTCTGTCTTGTGTTTATGTTAGTCTAGTTTCATGTGAGCACATGGTTCTTGACTATTCCTGTGCCATGTGCTTTCTGTCTAATTGTTAGCTCCTCCCTTCTCGTTATCTGCTTAGTATTAACATTCCTCACCTGTTGTCTCGTTACCCTCCTGTGTGTGTTTCCTTTATAGCTTCCTTTGTGTTTTTAGTCCAGTGCTGGTTCGTTTGTCTAAGTTCCTGTTTCTTGTTCCTCGTGTTTTTGCCTTGGTAGTATTTGTTCTGGTTTTTCCCCCATGTGGGAGTTTTGTTTGTACTTTGTATTTTGTTTGTTTGGTTAATTAAAATCTTACCTTTGTTTTCCTGCAATTGAGTCCTCGCTTATGTTTCCTGATTATCCCGTGACAATAGCCTATTGCTGAGTGTCTCTACATGCGTGTCTTAAGTAAATTACCTCAGGTTTTGGTCAGAATTGTCATTCAGAATCACAAATGTTTCTAAATTTAGCTACAAGCCTTGTGTAGCATTGTATTGCATTCACAGCTTTACCAATTAACAAACTGAGCAATAATCACCGACCTGAAATGCCCACCCTTCCTCTCAAAAGAAGTATAATGGTGTGTTCACACCGGACGCGAATAGCGCCTCCGGCGAGAGTGATTTCAATGTTAAGTCAATGCAAAGACGCGTTACGAGCGTAAAAAATTCCTGCGGCGCGAATGAGGCGTAGAGCGCGGCGCGGTAGACGCGAATACGCCTCATTCGCGCGTCAAGTTCACGCGAATGGCGCGAATTGAGCATCTGGCCCGTTACGCGCGAATGATTTTATTAAGTGCTTTTTGTGCATTCACGCGTTCGCCACCCGAGTTGAAAAATCGGAACTTTAGCTTCAATTCGCACCGCGTTAACCAATCAGGAGCCTAGCTGCTTTTTGCTGTCACATGGTTAGGGTTAGGGTAAGTATCCCGATGCTTCAATAAATTATTTTGTAATATGACTAATGCCTGTGTGGTTCTAATGCACAAAAAGCTAATTTTTTATCACATAAAACTTGATTTCAATATATGAGACGTTCATTTTGTATTAAATGCTATTTATTCCATATCTAGATTATATGAAATATTATTATAATGTAAAGACCACCAACATACTATAGTGCATACGTTCGTGTCTGGACAGTGTTGTGTGAGAGAGAGAAAAATCACAGGACAGGTTAATCACTTTTGGAGACTGGCTCCATTTATCATCAATACAAAAATAAATGACATATTAGGTGGGTGAGGGCGAGGGTGATCCTCGCTCCGATGCGGGACAACAGGTCATCAAACTGGGCGCGGGACAGGCGGAAGTACGGCAGAAAGCAGCCGTCATCCAGGCGCAGCTCCTGGAGCGAGCAAATGGCGAAACTCGCCAAACTGGGTTCGCCTCCGAAGGGTCTGGTGGACACAAATACGGCGACGATGATCCCTACGTCGCTGTTCTGCTCTCCAGAGCAAATACAGAGCGGTGACTCTCCCGATGAATGCTCGATCAAAATAAAAAAAATGGCCGCCAACGGGTTTCGAATCCGACGCGCGTGACGCGCGTAAATTTCGCTTCAAACTTTTGTTTTTACGCGCGTCAGTTTCACTCTTGACGCGCAAATTAACACAAATAGGTCAAGCGTCAAACTAGACGTGGTAGATGCGAATTTGACGCGCTATTCGCGTCCGGTGTGAACGCACAGTAACTTGTCCTACACCCCTCTGATTGGGGTTTAAACCAGCGTGAGGCTTTGTCTGCATGAGTTTGGGGCCACGAGAGTGAGGTTTACCTGCACTGGCCCACGCTACACTCGCCCCTCTAAACCTCATTGCTATCTCATCACAACACCAATTTATTTCGTTTTACTCTCACTGCTCCAAGAGGGATTGGACTCTGCATCAACCGGCATTGGAGGCAGGTGCGCTAACAAGGATGCTAAATACTTCTGCCTCTAGCATCAGTTTCTAGTGCGCCTCTTGAGGCCACGGAGGTGAGGTTTAGCTGCACAGGTCTTATTAGATGGCCTCCATTACATCTCACCCCCCATAACCTCACTCAAATCAGCATCGGCCGGCATTGGAAGCAGGTACACCAACAAGGACACTGAAGACCGCAGTCTCTAGTGTCAGTCAGTCAGTCAGTTTAGCTTCCCAAAGCTGGTGCATCCCGTTTGCATAATAGTTTAATTTTTGACGCAACTGTTGAGCTGCAACAATTGACAACTTGAAGGGGTATGTAGAAACAAGGTCAACAAAAGATACTACTGATACCACAACAATACAAGAGCTAAGAGAGGCAGAATGTGTGAGTGAGAGAAATGTCAAGTTGGTAAAGGGAGAAAGACATTTACAAAAGGGGCGGACATGGGGTCAGCGGGTTGACTGAACGATTGTGTTGCTGTGAGTAAGGTCTCCCAGTCCTTCTTGATTATTTTTTTTTATTATTGAACATGTTCTCCTTTCACCCTTCCTTCTTATATATGCTTTCAATTAAGCCTAAGCAAGTTTATGTGTGTCCTGGCATGTGTCTATTTGGCTTTGTCTTCTGATCAAACTGCAGGCTCAGACCTAATTGGGTCTGTTTGTCTTTGCTTCACTGAGTGTGAGCCAGTTAATTGGTCTACATCCTTCGAGGCTCATCGATTGGTCAGTCCAGTTATCCAGTTATAGGCTTTGTGATGAAGGCGTGGGAGGAACCACTTGATCTTTCTATGCCGTGATTGGCCGATAGGCGTCCACTTTGATGTGAGAGCAAAAAAAAAACAGGCTTTCATCCCTCCTATCGCCTCACACCAGACCAGGACACAGCGCTTTTACTTTGAAACCAACCTTTCACCATCATGCCTCGGGTCTGACATACCTGCAATTACGGCCACACACATGCAGCAGTCTTGACCTTCATTCTGAGCTGAAAATATGGCGGCAAATGCGGGGCATCTGGGGGTTAGGGAGGGTTTTCAGAGCTCCGGGTTGAGTTTAAACCTTGACTTTGAACAGCCCTCCAGGCTCATGCAGACAAACTCCAGCTGGAACTCAGCAACTAGACTGAGATTAAATATCTAACTGCTTGAACAGAACACAGTATTAGAAATATGAGGATGTGGGCTGGGTTAAATACAGGCTATTAGAATATCGCTTGGTATTTTTGTCAGCTGCAAAGTCCAGATTGTGCTGATCGTCGGAAAAGTAATGGCATTTTGAGATGATAGTGGATGGAGGGAGGAGGAGATGTGCTGCAGATATGCAGAATTCATCAAATGACTGTGTGCTTCATCCATCTCCTTCTCTTTTTTTTCTTTCTCCAGGGCAGGACCGCAGTGAAGCAGCTCTGATAAAGCGTTTTAAGGGGGATGGTGTTCGCTACAAGGCCAAACTCATCGGCATAGATGAGGTCACCGCCGCAAGAGGAGACAAACTCTGTCAGGACTCGATGATGAAACTCAAGGTGTGTTTGTGTTGGTTGCTTTCTATACATTTAGTTTATGTATTTATGCCATTGATGTTTCTGTATATTAGTCAATGACATGATTTAATTTTGTCTACTAATTTATTCAAAAATACATTAAAAATGTATTTGAATTCATACATAGTACAAGGACTAATCTAATATCTTTACTGTTACTATTTAGTTCAAATGGTATATTTGACCAAAACTTAATTTCAGTGCTTATTAATACTTTTGTCTTCCAAATCAAAGTCATGTGGTGTGATCAACATAAAACAGGAAATTATATCATAGAGAGGGCCCCTGCAGAGCCTCATAACTGTGTGTCAATAAGTATCTTAAAATATCAGATAATTTGAGCTTTTTATGACAAGGTAAGGTTAGTTCAGGTTATAAAATGTCATGTGATGCGACTGTCAACGGTTTCGAAAATATTGAATAAGATGTCACAAAACATCTCTTTTGTAAATGTCTTTAATTGGAAATAAAGTATTCATATAAAAATCTTTCAAGTACTATTTATAATTACATCTATTTAAAAACTAATAATACAATATATTTTGTCAGTCATCATGTAAATAGCTATATAAAGGTGTAACTTCAATAGCTTAATAAATAGATAAACCACATCCATCAGATTGGTTATTAAGCCGTGTGAACAGGTCACCGTGATTTTGCCAAGTAAGACATGGTCCTGGATCAACATATTTTGTTGATCCTGGATCAACATTCCTGTCCCAAAATGTAGTCCTTACCCAATCCCTACCCCTAAACCTAACCCTACCCATAACTTTTCCCTAAAATCAGAGGGTAATGAAAGGTTAATAACACTGATGTTGAAGTACTTCACTCTGGTTCTAAGCCTAAACTTGACATAAACTGTAAACTTGTCCCTCAAATCTGATTGGTTGATTGGAAAGTTGATCCAGGATCAACAAAGATGTTGATACAGGAACATGTGGTACTTGGTGAAATCACATTCACCGTGTGGACAGCAGAGGTCACTCTACTGTGTGTAAATCTCTCTAGTTTTTGCTACAAGCCTTGTGAAGCATTGTATTGCATGCACAGCGTTACCACTTAGCAAACTGAGCAATAATCACCAACTTGAAATGCCCACCCTTCCTCTCAAAAGAAGTATAACTGGTCCTACTCGCACCCCTCTGCATGAGTTTGGGGCCACGAGAGTGAGGTTTACCTGCACTGGCCCACGTTACACTGACCCCTCTAAACATCATTGCTATCACATCACGGCACACATTTATTTGGTTTTACTCTCACTGATCCAAGCGGAATTGGAATCCCTACGATTGGCTTCGCCAACAAGGACGCTAAATACTGCGTCAGTTTCTAGAGCGGCTCTTGAGACCGAGAGTGAAGATTAGCAGCAGAGGTCACACTACTGTGTTTAAATGGGATGCTCTGTTTGTGTATAGATGAACACTTTCCGGAAATCAGTGTATTTTTATTGTACATTCACCATAAATCGCACCCTTTTCACCAGTGTTTAGATTGGTTTCTCAGTGTGTTTGAGAGAGAGGGTAATTTCGCCATCCGATTTGCATGTTGGTCTGATTGGAATGTCCAGACTGTTATTGATCAGAGCTGTTTACCTCTCACTCATCCAGACACATAATCTATACTCATATTCCCACAGTCCTCCACTCCTTAGCAAACAAATGAGTCCCATGGTGTCATTTTTTAATCTCTTATTCCTCTCTCACACTCTTTATGTCTCTCTGGTAAGGAGAGTTTCAACAACAGTTCGACTTGAGTCATTTCATATAATCCCCATCCTCCCTTGATAATCAGCTATAAAAACGTTCTTAACATCACATCCAGCATCTGTCCAGCTTTTCCTACAGACGATGCTCTTCTCTGGACATTCCCTGGACTGCAAACAGACCTCTTATGTTTCACATCTGCATCTCTTCTTCACTCCAGCAGCACTTATATGGACACACTCCCACTTCTGAGTTTGAAATGTCAGAGCTTGTGCTCTTTCCATCATGCTACTACTGGCATTAGAAAGGCTCATTCATCATCCCGCCAGCACATATGGATAGGCATAATGGTGTGCTAAGATACATCATGCGACTGACGGATGCTTCTCCCTGCACACTCGGAAGGAAGATCAAGAAACGGGCTCATCTGATTGGCTCGGACAGATTACGGTCCTGGAAGACTCGAGGGCTCCAGCATCTTGGAAGAACGCCCACACCCACCCCAAAAACCTTGGATTGGATTGGACATTTGACGCAAGCTTGATTTAAAAGCCATTTTTGGCTTTGGCTTAAGACAGGGGTAGGCAAGTTCGGTCCTAGAGAGCCGCTGTCCGGAAGAGTTTGGCTCCAACACTGAAAAAAAAACCTCTCCTGCCTATAGCCTTAGTAATCCTGAAGACATTGATTAGCTTGTTCAGGTGTGTTTGATTAGGGTTGGAACTAAATTCTACTGGACAGCGGCTCTCTAGGACCGAACTTGCCTACCCCTGGCTTAAGATAATTGCGAATTTATATTTTGCAAATTTGGCTTGACATGTTGCTTATAAAAATTTATTTAAAAAATCTAGGTGTGATCTTCTTATCAGAGTCTGGCAAAGGCGACGTACAACCATCTGGGGTGGGACTTTTCTCTCTATGCTGCTCTTAGATTCGCTATTGGTCTTTTGCAGGAGTTTTACTAAAGGATGCCACTTTTCGTTCCTCCCACCCCTCTTGTTGAAAATGAATTGTGTCCATTGTGAGTTGTGTGTACTAATACATTTATAATACATTCAAACTTGTGTTAAAAGGATAGTTCTGTCTTCATTTGCTCACCCTCATGTAGTTCCAAAACCGTTAGACTTTGTTCAATCTTCAAAACACAAATTAAGATATTTTATAGAAACCTGAGAAGTTTCTGTCCCTCCTTTGGAAGTGCAGGTAACCCCTTTAACCAACTAAGAAGTCACCTTATTTTATTTGTATTGTATAGGTCATTTCAGGGATCCTTTTTTATCTGTTCCTGTTGACGCAATTTTACATTTGCAGTGCCTTTTGTAGGGCCACTGTGGGTCTTTCAGGGTGTGGCCCTTGGTAGTCACTGGCCCAAATGACCCCATATTCATCCTTGCTGATTGGTCGATCCACCATCATCAAAGAAGCAGTGATCCCTGGACTTCAAAAGCTGATCTCCACAGTGGGCTTTTACGGGTTAACTGTAAAATTGGACAGTCAGCTTTCCAGTCTGTGGCTGATAGATAATTCAACAGCTTTAAATGTTCGAGAGGCATTCTCTCTTACTGCATTTACCTGTACACTGTCAAACAATTCAGGCATTTTATTTTTATTCGATTTGAGCCACTTGGTTTTAAATCTGTATCCGTATATGAGAACGGGCCACACTCATATCTCATTCTCATTTCAATTCAAAGGTTTTGTTGGCATGTGAGGGATACTAGCAAAAGAGATTAATGATATTCTATGTTTTTAAATAGTTCATTGTGTCTGCATTTAGAATGGCATAGTGTGGAAATAACAGTAGAACACCGTGTTGACCAATTATTTGTGCAAACCACTGGACACTACCAAGTGGATTCATTTATTAGCTGGAAGCGCAGACCAGTTTCAGCCATGGTTTTGATTGGGTAGTGCAGTCCTATTCACACTTTACACCGATAATGCAGTTTAATTTGCTAATTCGTTGCTCTTTGTTCTCAAAACAATGGTTTATTGAGGATACATTACCATAAGCAATGTTTTGAAATGTGGTTTGTGCATATACATTTTGGGATTTATGTCTAGTTTTGAATGACCATAGTTATGGCATCAGTATAGACCCAGTAAAAACTAGATGTCTTCACTCTCTCTCAACCTGCACATATCAGAACCTCCAAGCCAGAAATGGTTGAAAACGTGGAGAAACTGAATCAATGTCTTTACATAACTGCTAATGCTCCCCAAGGATTGCAGCAAGTAGCGAATGCTGCCATTCCCTGCTCTGTTCCTTGTTTTATCTTCATTTCGTCTTTTCTCATGTTTCTGTTTTCATCTTCTTGTCCGCAGGGAATCGCAGCCTCTGCGCGGTCTAAAGGAGAACACAAACAGAAAGTTTTTCTCACTGTGTCCTTTGGAGGGATCAAGATCTTCGATGAGAAGTCGGGGGTGAGTCGGGGGCAGTGGGAATTGTGTCCTGTCACTATCCATGATCCTTTGAAGCAAGTGTCTGAGCCATGAATACAAATCCTCAGATGCCTAACCTGGTTTCAGTTTGTTTTATCTACAAAAACGACATTTTGGGTTTTTCATTACTTTGGAGATGTGATCTAGTTGACATTTGTTTTATTTCCCTCTCATCAATTGACGAATGACAGGAAAGAGCTATAAAGTAGGCTAGTCGGCATCAGTAAAAACCTCAGTACAATGGGAGAGCTAATTGCAACAACAAACACAAGATGAGCCAAGATGTCCGATTCAAAGACAAATGATTCTTCAGAAGTTGTTCTTTTTCGTGAGTCAATCAATAGTCTCGAATTAGCTTGTAACTTAGCGATTTGAATTGGACTAAAGACTAAAGACCTGTTCACACCAAGAACAATGACTATAAATATATAAACTATTACAATACCTATGTTAACATTCACAATTCATGATAACTTTCTGTTTATTATATGTGTGTGCTGCAGTTATGCTGGCCGCTGCTTTAAATGCTCGAACTCTTATCTTTTTTTTATCGTACATGTTCTGAAAGTGATTCCAACAATATCGTTCTTCTGTGTCATTTTTGTTATAACTGTTGTGTGGACTTTTTCATATTAGAAGTTTTTATTTATAATTATAGTTATCAGGATTAATGAGAACATCCCTTAAGTCGTTACTTAAAATATTATAATTTTAACCAATATTAACCAGTGTGTGTAAATAATTGCTCCGCAGCATCGGTCTGTAACCAGCTGAAATGTGCACAGACCTTAACATTTCTGTTTGCTCAAAAGTATAAATGCCAATTATTTCACAGACATAACTCTGAAAACAAAGCAGAATGTACATTATACTCGTGGACATAGTTTATAGTCTAGTGCTCATGGCTCTTCAAGAGGCCCTCATTTTCTAGGCCTCAAAAGTTTGGGTCGATGAGAAAAGATGGTTTCTGTGTGCTGTTGCTCAGGCTTGAGTCTGCTGTACGTCGGGCGGGGGTGGGGGGTGAGGCCATCCTTTGGGAGAGGTAAGCCTGTGTTAATGATGCGTTTTAAAGAGAGGAGCGCTCTCTGGGGAAATCAGAGAAGCCTAATTGAACAGACTTCTTAGAATAGAACGACCGTAGCTTTACAAGACCCATCTGCAGGGCCCGACTCCATCTTGATGGAGAGTAAATGGCAATAACAGCTAGTGAATCACACCTGAGCTAGTTATAAACGGAGGGAATAATGCGTATTTATGAAGTATCAGACCAGATCACGTACACCTACTGTAAGTGCTGCTCCACAGAAGGAGAGTTTGAAAGAGGATTTCACTTTGTAACAGTTATTGATTTCCCTCTTTCTTTTTTGTTGTGAAGTGCCATTAAGCCCTTTTGGTTTGAAACCAGTTTTGAAATTTTTTTTTAAGATGAAGTAAATCCCAAAGAGTGTGTTTGTCATTGGCTTCATTAGTCCCACATTGGTTTACAGTGTTTTTATTAACAGCATTTCGTACTTATTAGGTGCTCTCAGTAAATTTTTTTTCTACTTAAAAGTGTTTTATTCGGCAAAATGAAAAGTATTTCCAACGTTTGTCATATCAGTGTTGCTAGAAACATAATATTGGCCTATCTATATATTATAATATTGGCCTATCTATATTATAATATTGATATATCATAATATTGGCCTATATATATATATATTTTTTTTTAAGATGAAGTAAATCCCAAAGAGTGTGTTTGTCATTGGCTTCATTAGTCCCACATTGGTTTACAGTGTTTTTATTAACAGCATTTCACAGAGGTGTAAACAGCATAATGTATTATTTCAATTCAGTTTTAATTATTTGTTTTTGATTATATTGTCATGTAAATGTTTTTGTTTTTTTTTACATTTGCTTAACGTACTTATTAGGTGCTCTCAGTAACTTTTTTTTCTCCTTAAAAGTGTTTTATTCGGCAAAATGAAAAGTATTTTCAACGTTTGTCATATCAGTGTTGCTAGAAACATACATAAGTATAAGGCACTCAAAGAAAAGTAATGCGTAATGCTGCAGTATACATTTCAAAAGCACTGTCGATGTTAGCTAGTGAAACAGTCAATTTGTTATATCAGTTGAAACAAAAAAAAAATTTGCAGTTTCCACTAAAAACGTTTACATCTAAGTAAATTAGACTTAGTACAAAGTGTGGAGTTAAAAGTCTAAAAAAAAGTCGTTTTATTCCAAATAAAGTGGGACACCTCTTCATGGTGGCCACCATTTGAGATCACATGACCAGCTGTGGCATTACAATTTAGTTAGTACTTCCAACATTTATCATAATGTTGCTAGAAACATTGATTTATTCTACAGGATACAGATGACACGTCACTGAACAGTTTTATGGCAATGCTGCATCCAGAATATAGGTGCCAGCAAAAATTTCAATATCTCTATTGTATCAGTTTGTCAGACTAACAAAAAGGTGCACTTTCCACTAAAAAGGTTTTACACCTAAAGAAATGAGAGGTAATTTTAACAAGTATGATTAATATGACGTAGACATAGATGAGATAAAAGCCAAGGGAAGAAAAGAGGTTGTTCTAGTATATAAGGCGGGGCTTCCCTTCGTAGTGGCCACCATGTTGTGATCACATGACCAGATAGCCTATGTCTTTGGAATTCTATATCAAGTTAGTACATAAACACAAACTGCAGATGAACTTATCTCAAACTCTCGAGTTTGGTTTGTTGCACACCAGTCAACCGCGATAGCGTTGCATGAGCTGATAGGGGGCAGTAGATAGGCCAATATTGTCATATTATTTTAGAAGACAAATAGGAGCCAGCAAAATACAACTGATCTAAAGAAACTTAAAAAAAATTGGTTCTAAGATCCGTAACCACTTTTTCAGAGCTAAATTAAGCTTTAGGTGAAAATCTAGATGCAAATTCATATCGTTGGTATTTTATAGAGAACAGGCTGATTAATCTGTGTTCAGGGTTGGGTCTTGCACCGATGAGGGCTGGTGATAAATGAGAGGTTACTATGTGAGCACAGTGTGCTCTGTTGTCATGGCGCCAGGAGGTGACCTACATGACAAGGTTTTAATCTGTCATTGATGCTTCTGATCTAGTAGCACCATGACCCATTGCTCTCTTTTGTAAGTGTGTATGTGTCTGAGTGTGTATGTGTTTAAGCATCACACTACAATTGCATCGTATGTCTGATATGGCTGACACCACCGTCGGTGTATGAATGAGTGAGTAAATGGGTGAATGTGAGGCAATATGTAAAGCGCTTTGGTGGCCATTGGGTCTGTGAAAGCGCTATATAAATGCAGTCCAATTACCATTTACCATCATTACACAGCATATATCAAGTTGTACCGCTATTGGTTTAGCTCTGAAACTAGTGCAGCAATGATGTTTTAATCTAACGTCCATTGTGAAATGTATATTTGTATACCGGCCATGAAACTTTGTTTTGGTAGTTTAAAGGGATAGTTCACCCAAAAATGAAAATTCTGTCATCATTTACTCACCCTCAAGTTGTTCCAAACCTGTATGGTTTTTATTTTTATTTTTATTTTTTACTTCTGCTAAACACATAAGGAGATATTTTGAAGAATGTCATTAATCAAACAGTTGATGGACCCCATTTACTTGGAAAAAATATATAATGGAAGTCAATGGGGTCCATCAACTGTTTAGTTACATTTCTCAATGTTCCAATGAAGAAAAAAGTTTTACAGTTTTGGAATGACGTGATGGTGAGTAAATGGTGGTGAAATGTTCATTTTTTAAGTGAACTATTCCTTTAAATCTGTGAGGGTCACACTATCATTCTTACGTTTTACTTTGGCGACTTTCTAATTTAGACCCTGAGACTGAGCCAATGCAATGAGCCGGATTGATGCTCTGTCTATTACAGAGTCTTATAGTGTTTGCAGTGGTACGCTCAGATGTTATTGAGTAATAGAGTGTAGTGTGTGTTTGTGTGTGTGAGAGAGAGTTGCAGTCTGGGTTGTTGATCACATTGATGGTTTATAAGGTAAGATGACTGGACCATGTCATAGTGGCTGTGCTGAAAGTCATTCGATTTTAGATGTGCTCTCTGCTTCTGCAGACAAAGCTATACTTATACTGTATGTACCACTTTTTTATCGCTCTCTCTTTCTGTAGCTCATTTCATTCCACTTACTGACATAAGTCTCCACCCCCCCCTCCCCCCTTTTTTTTTCTACCATTCTGAATTGTCAGCATTGTGTGAATAAAAGTTTGGATGCCCTAATAAAATACTGTATTTCCCATCTGAACAATTTAAAAGGTTGACCTAACCTCCAAATAAGAATTATGGATTGTCACAATATGACGTGATGTGAAGGACTTAAACAAGATGCTTTAACAATAATTATAATTTATATATATATATATATATATATATATTATAAGTATAGTTACTTTAAGTATACTGATATTATCCCAATAAAAATGCATATAAAAAAAATTCTTAGACTTTTGCACCCTACTGTCTTCTCTTTTTCTACTTTTTGTCTTTCCACTGTCCATCTATATAATTTAAGTCGATAGATACATGACTGAGACTGTACAACAGAGAATTATGTTATGAAGAGGGAATAAAATAAGGAAAAGACAAAGGATGAGCAAGCCAGTGTGAGAAAAATGAAGATGGTAGAAGAAAGAGAGACAGAAACCACTGGACAGTTCCCTTTAGGATTCAGCAGCTTTCCTCACTGTGTTGTGGTTCCAGCTTCATCTGCCTGTCCTCCATCTCTTCCTCCTTGGCATTGGTTCTCGCCTCCAGGCTCTGCTCTGATGAAGAGGAGCTGCTTCCTGATTTCATTATGGTGACTCAGTGGACAACCGTGTGCGGCACTGTGACTCGGCTAATCGTATTGTTGTCCTGCCGTCTGAAGGCCTGCCAAGACCAGCCACTCGTATTATTAACTCTCCCACAAAGAGGGAGACCAGATCGGAAG